TTGTAACCAGGCATTGGTTTGGTTGGTTGGTTGTGTTTTGGGAAATATCAGATGATAAGCAGATTTGGGTTCAGTGCTATAAAACCCTGTGAAACCCTGTGTATGGCCTATTTCAAAACGTTGAAATAGGCCATGCACAGCTATAGTAAATTACCTTAACTGTAGTCTTGGATTTTTTTTATTTTTAGGTTCCTGACATGAACACAGCACAGGGCCACAGTTTTGAAATAAAATACAGAACCGCAAATGTCATTCTGAAGGTTGATACTGTGTCTCTCTTTAACTGAAGAAGCCACAAACAAGCACTTTTGTTTGAAAAGTTTATTTAGTTTTTATAGGCTGCTATATTGATACCAATATATGCAGACACAATATTCAAGTTCTCTTAAGGCATGTAATGTACCAAAAATACCTTTTTATTAGATAGATGCAACTGTCTATGAAAAATGAAGCCCAGGGAGTAGAAGACAAATTAATTAGACACCAGGGAGCCACTGGTTGCAAAAGAAGTCAATAGAAATCAATAAAAACATGTGCCAACTCCTCATTATAGTTTATTAGTAAATGGCTTTTCTATGGAGATTATGGCTTCAATTACCAGTTTCAGGTCTTCTTCAGGAGAATATGATTCCAAATTTTGTAAAAAGAAATATGACCAAAACTTCATCCACGAGGACAGATACAATTTTCAAGGCCTTACAGAAACCGGAGAAACGATAAGGAGTGGATTTCCCATCACTGGCTAGCATGTATAAGGTCAGGCTGGTCGTTTCAGTGTTTTTCCACTGACTACGTGAGTTTCAGTACAAGTCAAATGGAGGATAATAACACAGAATATAATTTTGTCATAACAATAGTCAGAAAGACTATTATGTGGAGGAGTGTGGCGTTTACATGTTCTAATGTGTACAGGATTAGTGAAGTAGTTCAGTCCAAATTGACTGAATGAATGATTACAAGTATGAATGATTTTTGTCTCCACACATGGGCCTGGAACGGATAGTCCAGAGTGCATGGCACCCTCGTCCAGTGGCTGCTGGGATCGACAGCCAGCTTTTGTGACCTTGAAAGCATGTGTGGCAGAAAATGAATGAATGACTAAATTTTCTTGTATAGAAACTATTTGTAAAGTTTGATTCCCTGCAGATGAAATTCTTACACAAAGATCTGAAAATATTAGCCTGATTGTTGTTGTTAATTTGACTAAACCAGCCACTAGGGTACACAAACCAATGTTTTATAGTGCCGGTCCCAAGCCGCCAAAAATGGTGAGGGTTGCGTCAGGAAGGGCATCCGGTGTAAAACCTTTGCCAAATCAAATAATGCGAATTAAAACTATTTCCATACTGGATCGGTCGGGGCCCGGGTCAAAAACAACTGCCAACAGTGCTGTTGACCTACAGGGTACTGATGGCAATTGGGCTACTGTTGGTCGAAGACAGAGAAGAAGAGGAGGGAGTTTGGTTAGAAGAAAAATAGAAAACAGGAAGGAGAGAAGTGTTGGCTGTTGAAGTTTGGAACTCTGAACGTAGGTACAATTACAGGGAAAAGTAAAGAACTAGCTGATATGATGGAGAGAAGAAGAGTAGACATTTTGTGTGTGCAGGAGACCAGGTGGAAGGGCAGCAAGGCTAGAAACATTGGAGGAGGCTACAAACTGTTTTATCATGGTTCAGATGGGAAGAGAAATGGAGTAGGGGTGATCCCACAGGAAGAATATGCAAGAGATGTGGTGGAGGTGAAACGAGAGTCAGACAGGTTGATGTGTGTGAAGGTAGAAATAGAAGGACTGATGATGAATGCTGTCAGTGGTTATGCCCCACAGGTGGGCTTGGAAGTGAGTTGGAAGAAAAGGAGAAGTCCTGTAATGAGCTGGATTCGTAGATAGGTAATCTGCATCTCTGGCCTTAAACACGAATGGAATTCCTCGTGGCTGCCCTATAACATCCAAATACATTTCATTGTTATCTACAAACCTTTTCTCCTTTCGATCACTGTGCTCAATTAACTTTTCCATGCCTGTATATATTACCGTTATGGGTGTTTTTTAACCTTACCGACGTACACAGCCCAACCCACCTTAATGGTAATGTATTCATTAATTTATCTCCCCCACACATCCACTAACTATCTGTAATAGAAAATGTCTGGTTTACAAAGAAAAATAATGTGGGTATAGTTATATTTATGTTAGTACAATCTTTTATACAAAATGCCTCGTAGAAAGGTTGAACTGATTAATGATTGGCTTTTCTTTAAACAGGTGCATGATGCTGCTTCGTGTGCAGTTTGGTAGAGAACAAACGTATGTGAAGCTGTCTGAGCTTACATTCAAAGCTTTCTTGAAAGAAGGTGAGAACATAGACAGGTTTCTTAATAGACAGAAATGCATGACCTCACATTTTAGAATACTTCTTGCCTAATTTACTATTTGCTTTTATTACAAACTAGTGTGCCTAAAATTTAACACACCAGAAGACAGACAGCCAGACATGAAGGTGTGTGACCAGTCTGACACAGAGATTGACTCAGAGGTTTTTGAAGAATTAGTGCAGGAGTCTGGTGGGCCCTTCCGCATCATCTTGAACAATGACGGATATGGTAATCATTCAAACAACTCACTTTTGTGTTTATTCATATAGGCTCTGATGTGACTATTTATCATCATATTCAAATACAATAGCTGTATATAACCTAATATGGTTCTATTTTGTACACATTTCTTGCACAGGTGCCTCTCAGTCGTCATCATGCTCAGTAGCCTCTGATGACACAGTCATCCTGAATTTTTGTGTGTAAAGAAGCAGCTGTTGAAGAAGGAAGCCAGCCTTAAAGGCCATGCCATACAAACTATGAGGCAAAAGCGGTAGCAATGGATATCACTATTGAATCTAAGCTGTATGTTGTTACATGTCATAGAGAATGTTTAAAACTATCTTGATATTTGATGTAGGCTATAATATTTAATAATCTAAATGTTTATTTAAAAAGTCTCAATATGATTTTAAAAATTGGCTGAAATATTTTTGTTCCATTTGAAGTTGATTGAAAACATCCTAAAAACAAAGCCATGGAGTTGAGTACATTATGTAAGAATATGGGAAAACCAAGTCTCTCACAGAATCCACCAGACGACAGATGATTAACATTCTCACTGCTGAGATGACAGAAACCCATGGGTAAGCATTGATATTGATATACATATAGCCTGTGATGAGATTGTCAGTATTACAATTTTAATTACTTAAATTGTGTCCTCTAATGTCATTTGTGTGTGATGTCTTCATTGCATTCACACAGGACATCGCCCGCCAAAAGTGTCAGAGTGATGTATGCACAGGGCATTGTGGCTTTGTTTCCCTATTTGGAAGACCGTTTTTCACAACATGGATATGTAAGTAAAAGTGTCATTACAACCAGCATAATGTACATCACTCAGTGGTAAGTTCATAGTATTGTTATTAATGAATTTGTAATTACTTAGGAACACTACTACGACCCTGAGAGTGGCTCTGGATACCTTGCATGGCGATTGAAAACCATACAATGAAAAACTGCAGAAGATAGAGGTGCCTCTGTCAGCAGATCTTGCAAAGGTATAGCGTCTTAGTGTAGATCATAACAATAGTGATTTGTTGTTACACTTGTGAGTTGTTACTTGTCCTGGCAAGAGTCACATTGTGTTTTGTCTTAAGTTGGGGGACCAGGACAAACACTCTGCTGATGAAGACACTGTCCGTGAGAAGATGAAAGCTACCTTTACTTATCGCCAAGCAATAGTCAATGATGAAAGCAAATCAGCAGATGTCTTCTTGGTTTTCCCACATTTTCTGGACACACCAGGACTTGTACAACATCTTAATTCAATTATTTCATGGCAATTCCCAGTATAGCCACAGTGCAGTAACTCTCATTGTTACTCTTTGTTTGTATGTGTCTGTGTTATGGATTGAGCAAGATTTCAGACTTCTGTTTGGAGAGACCACTGCCAACAAATTCTTGGAGAAGTGGCCAACTTCTTTCAAAGCTAAAGTAATAATGGAGAGTCATCGACTTGTACCCACTACAGAACTCTTGGATTTGATGCACAGTGCAGAGTCAGCGGCTGAAGTTGAGAATGGTACGACATTGTTTACTTGATATTTCTGATTGCACATGTGTGCAGTGCCCTTTTTGGTAATGGTGCAACCTCTCAAATGAATATGCTATGATGTTAACACATTTTTGGTTTACATAACTCTGTTATGTAAATATGTAAGCTGGGACAGTGACATGTCTACTATTTTGCTGCTGCTACATCTACTGCCACCATCTGCGCAAGGTCGAAAAAGGCCAGGAAAGATGTTTACATCTCAAGCTGTCCATCAGCTCATTAAATTAAAAAAGGTTTGTTAAAAAGTTGAATGAATGAATTTTTCTTTACTTCAATCTCACACACAGTTTGAGGTGTGATCAAATGTAGTCTAATCAGATTTTACTCACCACAACTTATGTTGAATGTCTTCTGTCACAGACTGGAATCAGTGTGCAGCAGCATTTAGACAACATCACCCTTAGCAGCCAGTCCTACCTTCTTGCTGTAGGAACCACACCAAGCAGCATTCACCACTACTTCATTGTGATCGACAAGCATGCACTTCCTTGCAAGGCAACTGGTTCTGTGGGAGTCTTTGACAAACTCTTGAAGGCCCATTATGTCTTTGGTATGTCATACAGTTCCTCCTTGACCAACTTTTTCACTTTTGTGCAAACTACAAACGACATTGGAGAAATATAACGGGCTCACCGCCCACATTTGATTCTCTCTGGCAGAGTTGAATCTAAAATGCCCCTGTTTTTTTTGTTTGATTATTGTATTGTTTTGATTATTGTTCTGATTATAGATGGAACACTGTAATTGCTTACTGTGCCTTTAATTACAGTTGCTTGTCAAGAACATCTCCATGCACATGAAGTGAGAAAGCAAGACAATGCAAATATGGAGACCACTAGCACTTTAATGATTTCTAAAATAAATACTAGCACTGGCAATACTATGTTGTGTCCTGTGTATTTTCATTTCGTAGCACATCACGTTACTTATATTATTATTATTATTATTATATTAATACAAATAAAATGATGTATGTTTTAGAGACAGTAGCAATAGGCAGAAGACAGGAGGCGGAGCTGGAGATGGCAGAGTTAAAGATGCTAAGATTGTCTTTAGGAGTGACAAGAATGGACAGGATCAGGAATGGTCATTAGAGGGACAACACAGACAGGAAGGTTAGGAGAAAAGGCTAGAGAAGCCAGATTGAGATGGTTTGCACATGTGCAGAGGAGGGACAGTGGATACATTGGTAAAAGAATGTTAGAGATGGAGCTACCAGGTAGAAGAAAGAGAGGAAGACCAAAGAGGCGATATATGGATGCAGTGAGGGAGGACATGCAGATAGTTGGAGTCAGAGTAGGAGATGCAGAGAACAGTGAGAGATGGAAATCGATGATTTGCTGTGGCAACCCCTGAAAAAAAAAGGGACAAAGCCGAAAGAAAAAGAAGATTTGGCTAATGAAATTGATCTTTCCTTTAGCATGCACGCCAGCCAACCCCGATGCTACATAGTGCACTGACCTTTTGCCCCTAACCTAGACATTTGAGCAACATTTGGCCAGATAACGACACCTTAACACCCTTAAAAAGAACACTAGCTTAGGAGAGCAGAGAAAGGCTGGGAAGGGGGCTTGTACTTTATATCTAAGACACTTTGTTAGTGCTAAGTGAGGTTGGCGTTAGTTGTCGGAACTGAAGGCAGGCACCGGGCAGCTATCAGGTAGCAATTAGTATAGCTGACATCCCAGATGAAGGAATCAAGTCTAGATCAGGGCAAAAAAACTGGGGTCCGAGGCCAAGCCATGCGCCTCCCCCCTTCCCTTTCTAAATACAGTGGTATGAAAAAGTTTGGGCACCCCTGATCATTTTCAAGATTTTCCTTTATGGATCATTGGTTGTTCGGAAAAGCAATTTCAATTAAATATATCATATAGCAAACAAACACAGTGATATTTAAGAAGTGAAATGAAGTTTATAGAATTTACAGAAAGTGTGCAATAATTACTTAAACAAAAGTAGGCAGGTGCATAAATTTGAGCACCCCAACAGAAAAATTACATCAATATTTAGTAGATCCTCCTTTTGCAAAAATACCAGCCTCTAAACGCTTCCTATAGCTTCCAATGAGGGTCTGGATTCTGGTTGAAGATATTTTTGACCATTCTTCTTTACAAAACATCTCCAGTTCAGTCAGGTTTGATGGCTTCCGAGCATGGACTTCTTCTTTCTTCTTTTTCTTTCGGCTTTGTCCCTTTTTTTCAGGGGTTGCCACAGCAAATCATTGATTTCCGTCTCTCCCTGTTCTCTGTATCTTTTACTCTGACTCCAACTATCTGCATGTCCTCCCTCACTGCATTCATATATCTCCTCTTTGGCCTTCCTCTCTTTCTCCTACCTGGT